CTCTCTCTCTCTCTCTCTCTTACATTAGTCATAAGAAAATCATGTCCTTGCAAATGAATTCCAATGCAACAAAAGCAATTCCAATTTCGCACAAAACAATGTCCAGGCAAAAGATTGATTATAATTTCAAAACTATTTCATGCAAAATGGCCATGCAAAAGGAGAGTAAGAGCAATTTCTATGAAGTGCTTTCGCTTGGTTCAGAGAGCGTGGGGTTTGATGAGATAAAGAAGGCGTTCAGGAGAATGGCTCTTCAGTATCACCCTGATGTTTGTCCTTCTTTGGCGAAAGAAGAGTCCACAAAACGATTCGTTGAGCTTCAACAGGCTTATGAGACATTGTCCAATCCTGTTTCTCGTAAAATGTATGATTATGAGATGGGTTTGGTTGAAGAAAGGAGGAGGAGAGATCGTTTTCCGAAGAAAGTTTGGGAAGAACAACTCTTTGGACTGAAGCAACGGTCTCGAATCAGAATGGAGAGGAAGAGAAGCTGATTGTAATATCAAATAAATTGATTTTAATTGTTAATATTTTCATATTAATATTTTTTTTTAGTAAATATTGAGCACCATTATGTGCTTTTGTATCTTATCTGAACTTACTATGTACTTTGAGATGAATGGATACGGTTTTTGTTTCTTTAATAAATCTTTTATTATTAATCAATAAGATTATTGTGCTTGTATTGATAATTTTTTGATGAATTTTTTTTTTTTTTTTCGGATTTTGAATTTCATTAAATTTGATCTTTTATGAATATTAATTACTTTGGAAAATAATTATTTTTTTTTAATGATCTTAGGATTTTTAAAATTAAAATAATTTTAGAGAGTGTTAAATAGTTTTCAAAAATCATTTAGGAAAATAAATGAAATTAACCCATTAACTTCCGCATACTTCTTATTACTATAATATAGAGGTAAATACATATTGACTTATGTGGTAACCCTACATGTTTGATTAATCATCAATTTTAGTTTGTTTAAATTATGTTTAATATGAATTTATACAACCAATTTAACATATATCAATTTGTAAGAGTGAGATTGTACGAAGAGTCCGATAATATGTTATTTTGGGTAAAACCCAAATAGCAAAAGATTTGCTTTATTGAAAAGAAGAACTGTTGAAGATAAAATTTTGGGTCCAAAGGGCCCAAAAGTAAAGTTCAAATAAAGGAAGAGTAACGTTACGCAATAATATTAGACTAGTCAAAGTTAGTCAATTGGGCCTAATCCAGCCCAAACCCAAATTGTGATCCAAACCCATGAGAAATAATTACTGTCAAAAAGCAAATTTTCATTACAAGACAGCTAATCTCAAATTCACAATTACACATGTAATTGCCCATTACTAGGTGTGAGCAAGAAATCCGGGTAGAACTGGAACCGGCGCATATTGGGGTTTCGATTCTAGTTCCTACCTGGAATCGGCTTGGAAAAGGTTGGTTTTAGTTCCAAATTTGGTGGAATTGGCATTATGTGGTTCCATTCTGGTTCCACCACTTTAGAAACCGAAATCGAAACCAAGGTCTAAGTACTCGGGGTGGAAACAATGGGTATTGGGATATATTTGTACGCTAATACCCATTGAGCTGTCTAGTGAAAAGAAGACTTTTTTTGGTAAAAAGAAGACCACGATGAAGAGTGCCGTTAACATATCTCCGGATTCTTTTACAAGATGTCTAGTGAGCTTTCGTAGGCTGCTGCAAAAATTGGCCAAGCTTGTTAACAGCAAAAGTCAAGTTTGGTCTAGACAAGTTTAAATATTAAAACCAGGCCCAGGTATATTATTTGAAACTTTAATAATAATTAAGCCCTGAGAAACCACTTTAGCCACCTCCTATAATCCTATTCCTACGAGAATAATTACAAAAGAAAAATGCTATCCTTATAAAAACCCATACAAAGAGGATTACAAAGTGAAATTATCCAGAACAAAAAAAAAAAAAAAAATGAAAAAAGAGAAAGAAAGAGAGAGATCATGAAAATCAAGAGTGGGGATTATCTTTGTATGCCCCCTTTGTATATGTCTTTATAAAACTAATATTGCTCATTACGAAAATCCTTTACAAACAACCCTCTGCAAAACTACACATCTAGCCCCATATATAAACCAAAATTACAAAAAAAAAAAAAAACCTTCTCATTTCAACCAAGCTCGGGTCAAACAAAGGGGATTTTTCAAATAGAGTTGGTCAAGGACTGGTCCCAAGCGGACCCGGGCCTAGGCCCGTTTGGGACTAGTCCCATTTGGGACCAAAATGGGACCAGTTGCTCATGGGCTTGGGATCAGTCCCAGGCCCACGAGCAATTGCAGGACCTAAACTGGTCTTATGGGTCTGCAAGATTTCTGTAGAGGGTTTATGTAATTTTTAAGGGTAGATTAGTAATTTTCAGGGGCAGCAGCCAACGGTATTAAATGCAAATTTTTTAAATTTTGTAAAAAAAAATTTAACCCCTACAATTTCTGTCTATTTCAAAATTTATAAGGGGTTTTATGTAATTGTCTAGGGGGCTAAAAAAAATAAACTAAAAGGGTTTGGGCTCGGGCTTGGGACCGAGCCCTCCTCCTTAGGTCTGGTCCGGTTTTGGGACTAGGCCTGCTAGGACCAATCCTCTCAAGGACCAGGCTTGCTAGGACCCGGTTTTTGGACTCACTCCCAAATGCTCAGCTCTATATCCAGAGTATAAGCTTGCATTTTTAAATGCAACCCTAGCCTAACCCAGGTACTTACATTCCTACCATAGGACCCATGATGAATTGTCAAAGAACTGTTCAAGGCTTATCTATAATACAGCTCAGTCTATATTTAGTAAAGATGTCAAGAACAAAGACTCAACAACGATGCGTGCTAAATCCCTCTGCTATGGGGCAATATTCTTCAGTATTTCGCCAAGTAAATATCTGGCTACAACTGGACATGGCCTTTCATGTCATATTTACAATAATCCTCAAAAGGAAACACAGTTTACACAGAAGATATATTATTCTTTTAACTTTTGGAGATGATTTGATTTCCACCTGTAACTATAATTGCACTTTCTCCCATTACTTTCCTTTCCTCAGATGCCTTATTGCCGATTCTTAATAGAGCAATACATCACTTTTTAATGAGGCCAAAAGAAAAATATATACATATTTGCACTCAGACATCAAAACGAATCTATGACTTGTTAATGGCGAGATAGGTGAGAAAACATCTGTGATAGACTCATATACATCAGTTAACATGATAACTAATCAAAATACAAACATGATTTACTTGGACGGCATCAGATAAGCCTAAGTATAATAAAATTGTATTATTTTTTCGCTTAAAAGGGAGAATTAAGAAAAATTGTGAACCCAAGCATTTTTATTTCAACAACATACCAAACCACTCAAAGGTTGAAGCATACTAAAAGCAAGACAGTGTATAGAAACATCAAACACTCTATTCTCTCATAATCAAATTTAGAAATATTGATGCCAATTACAATATCTATTTTATGTAACAACCCAGTGAAATAGCATGAAGGATAACCTTAACTGTAGAATGTAGATATAGACATGTAATTCCAAATTCTATACAGAAAATATAAGCACCAAGGTAACACACAATACACCAGCTAAACGACCACTCTTTAAGCTGAACTTACCTGCTATTCATCAGCTTGTCCAGCACCACATTGAGGTCTACTGACTGCCTGTTTTCCGTCAGGTTCCTCACTGTAGCTCTCACCAAGTCTCTCCGGAATCCCATCGCAACAACCTTCTCGACAACATCATCAACTTGAACACTGTTTGTGTTCCCACTGGAAGCAGATCCACTATCCAAGATAGAGGCAGTTGGAAGAGCGTGTGGTAATATCTTGGCAGTTGGCAACTGTGAGGAACTGCTTCCACTACCTGGGAATGAAGGTGATGATGCACGTTGAAAGGGTTTCATATTTGAACTGCTGGAGCCAAAACAAGGTTCATTATATGGAAAAAGATTGATGGGATTAGACTGCTCTGGTGGCTTTGAATACCCAGAAGGTAACTCCAAATAATGCCTGCTTGTGGAGTGATCAGGGATCTGCTGGGTAGAACCAACATAAAACTGCTCAGTTGGGGGAAACCCACCAGGTGGCCGAGAGGATTTTTGGATGCTTTGAGATGACAGGTAAGGAACTTCTTCAGGTTGATGGCTCAATGGAAGATGGGCTTGATAATAAACTGGATTGACAGGTGAGTGCAGTTGAGGTGGTTGGGCTGACTGTGAGGGCGTTGGAAGTTGAGGCAGTTGGACAGACTGTGAGATTGTTGAAAATTGAGCCGGTTGGGTGGACTGTGAGATTGTTGGAAGTTGAGGTGCAGGTTGATAAGGTTGATGCAGTGCTGGAGATGGTAGCTGTGACTGCTGAGTTGAAGTTACAAAGTACTGCTGATGAGTGGTTGTTGGAGGTGTTGACTGATTAGGTTGGTACAATCCTGGAGCTGGTGGCTGTGACTGCTGACTTGAAGTTACAAGGTACTGCTGATGTGCGGATGCTGGAGGTGTTGACTGACTAGGTTGATACAATGTTGAAGGTGGTGGTTGTGACTGCTGCATAAAAGGCATATGGTAATTCTGATGTGTGGTTTCTTGAGTCAGCACAGTTGAGGGGTTGTACGATTGAGGTTGTGAAATGGAGGGGACGACATTCTGGGGTATTTGGTTAAGAAGCTGTGGAGCTGTTGCTACAGGAGATTGTTGAGGACTTTGATTATGTAGGTTCTGAGAAATATTAGAAGGGAGAGAAGCATGCTGTTGTGAACAAGCAACTTGATTCGGAAGCAACTGGTGGGATTGTTGAGGGACAAATGACGATGCTTCTTGATTTGAAACGGTTTGAGGGACAAATGACGATGCTTCTTGAATAGAAACGGTTTGAGCAGTAGTGCCCCGCTTTTTCGACTGCGTGTCACTCTTGGGCAACTGAAGCTTTGCAAGCTGCACTTGAGCCTCTGCTATCTCTTGTTTATCTCTCAAATCCTTGATACAACCTTGAACCTGCAAGAAATCATATACAAATTGCACCCTTCATGTCATCGGTGCACTAGATACACAAGCTTTGTGCGACCAATTACCAGCTAACACTAATGCAAAAGTGGCCACAAATATTGAACCTACGTTGTTATATGACACTTATCACCATTCAAAAAGGAAAAACTTTGAGGGAGTTCCGGCTTTTATTGAACAAACAACTTTTCCTTCAGTTTCCACTTAACATCCTAAGAAATGTCAATCATTACAAATTCACATTACACAACAACAGACCAAATCTATCAACCAAACTTGCAATGTAAAACTGTATTGACAAACAGAACTACATAATATATATTCTGCCTATCAACATTACATATATCTCATGAATCAAGTAAACTCTAATTAGACTAAAGAGAACGATGGTCTAACCACCAAATCAACTTCCCTTGACGTCCTCAAGTATGCAAGAATACATGACAGGTGAGAACAATGAGAAGACATGTTTCTTGGTGTTTTTAAGTGCAGACAGAGGGAAAGAGAGAGAGAGTCCCTCCAAGAATTTAATTTCAATTACATCAGATTGGGACTTGGCTCTGGTGGTAAAGGGTAAGGATTCTTAGTCCAAATACTATTTAGAAAAAACAAAAGGAGACCACTGTTATTCTACAAGAATATAATGTTTTGACTATTGAGGTTACACATATGATATGACTTTTGGCAATGCAGCCAGGATTTGGGGGCACAAACCTTTTCTAACTTTTTATTAATTGAAATTCAAAGAATTTCACATAAAAGGATTAAGATGAAACTAGACTATTTCAAGGCAAGATTTGAATATGATATTGCCATGGTCCAAACTTGTTAAATATAATGGTGTCTTAGAAAATCAGCATTCACACTCTTAATGTATAATTTCGTTATCTGACACAAAATTAATTAAGTTCACATTGAGAGCTCATGTCCATAAATCTATCAATTTCCACCACCAAGTCTTTTGTTCAACAAGTCAGAGACACTCCAACAGTTTATAAATTATGTGTTTGAGTAAAAGGACAATTTTTTCATACTTACAGCTCCAGCATGTCTAATTGGAAACAAATAGCTTCTAGTAAGATTATTACCAAAAAACAACACCTAAATTTCCCAATATCTTGCAAGGTTGATTTAAATAACCAAAAATACAAACCAAAGCACACACATCACAACAAATGAAAGGTAGTGGAAGTATGAAAATACCTCTCTCAGAATATTTTCTGCCTCCCTAAGCTTTCCATCAGTCCTACCATGACTATATGCGATTGATTCCTTCAAATAATCAACAAAATTCTCCACTTGAAGCATTCTACTCTCTAACTGAGTTGCTCGTGCACTGAGGCTTTCCACCGCATGTAGCAAATTATGAAAATGTTCCTTGATCTTTTGATCAATCTCAGATATCAAATCCACTTGGTCAGCAAAACTTCTATTCTGTATATCATCATTCAAGCACCATTTAAGAGACACATATAAGCAAAAATGTAAAACGTAAACCAGTAACCAAAAATTATTCAAAAACAAATGCACTCTCATAATTTAATCATAGCCAACATTCATAGATGTACATAATCAATTAAGTAGGAGTGACTTTGGCTTTGATCCTGAGGACAAAATTTGCTTGAGCTCAAAATTCATCAGCACACTTGAGACCAAACGGTTAGATAAGAATGCAAATAAAAATAAATCATTACAGACACAAATTATACTGCCTAAAACTATAAGTCCAAATGTCAATGCATTCTGTCTACTCGAAACTAACCAACCCACAATTCAATTTAAACAAACTAAAAATTTTCTTTTCGATCCAGCAATCAAATCCGAGTTTCATATCAAACAAACATTAATAGCTGGAAAAACAAAGGTTAAGCAATTAAAGATACAAAACTAACAATTGGGCAAGTACAATCAAAGAGTTAAAATTCAATAACAAATAGTAGTTTAAGAGAGAGATGATACATTGATGCCGACTCTGGTAGGTTTGCGTTTGGGCTGAACTGCCTCGAAGAGAGAATCATCAGATTCATAGTCTGCGTCTTCGTCTACGAAACCATGTCCGGAAAGTTCAGCTACTAGCTTATCCTTGTACGTCCACGAATTCGGGTTTCTCATGGAATTTCAATTTCTTAGCTGCCAACTATCTACTGCTTTGTTGTGAACAAAGGATCATCAATTATACTATCGGATCTTGGAATGTAAAGCCGGGTTGAATTACGGTTGTGGTACAACATTATCAAGCATAAGGTACCAACTCTTACAGCACGTTTTCAACTCTGGTGGTAGTATTATTATTATTGTTGCTTTCTTAGAAGAGACCAATCTAGAAAATATAGAAAAGAAAGTGATTAAATTCTGTAATTTTTTAATTAATTGTAAATTAAACTAAATAGTAGTTCAAAAATATATATCTATAACTATAAGCACTTGATTGAAATGTAATATGTTGTGAGTTGAGTGGTGGCTAAGAAATGAATAATCCTCTTTACCAAAACATTAAATTTTGTATTAAAATTACAGTTTGGTGGATGGTGAGATGAAATTTAAAAATTAATTGCTCTTCTTATGAAAAGTAATATATTATCTCAAATAAAATTTTCAAACAATTTTTGAGCATTCTTAAAATAAACTGTTTCCAGTTTTGAACTCATCAAATACATCTCTCGTATTTATTATATTCGGGTAAGCATAAGATTCGTTTAAGAAAAAGCAATTCTGCAGTTTAGTCAGTAGAAGGTTGCCCTCAACTAATATTATTGATGTTAAAGAGCAAATGAAACTTCATTACTTACATTGCTACCTAAAAACATCAAGGACAAAATTTGATTCATATCAACACAATAAGTACAAAATTTTAATGAAAAAAGCTTCCCATGATTCAAAACAAGAATTCAATCACGGATAATTTGGAAGAGTTAGGCCATGGAACTTGGACCATTACCATTTGCTCATCATAACTGAACTCCACACTCACCGCATCAATTTTGCACATCAATGGTTTCTCTGAAGCGAACACCTTCATTTCTCCACAACCCTTCACTCCAATTCTTACCGCATTCTCATCCTCATCGAAAACCAGAGACTGAATGGCACCACCAGAGTTCAACATGGTCACCAGTCCAATTAGGGCAAACTGGATTGATCTTTTTGGATGGACTTTCACGGGAGAAACAGTAAGCAGCTCATAATTAAATGGCTCAAGGGAAATCTCCAATTTATCCGAAATTTTCAGAAGCTTCAGCTTGTTTTCTTGAAACATGTAAACAGAAAATACGTTCACTCCATTCACACAAGACATCGGATCCTTTCCATTGTTCCATTCAATATCATTAGGACTAGCCAAGCAAGATATTGTGTTTGAAAACTTGGCGAAACCAACATTTTTTCTTGTTACAGAGCACCGTCCTCCTCCTTGACAATTGAACACTCCTAAAACTCCTGTATACTGTTGTAAACGTAAATGAAAAAGATATAATTAGAACAAATGATCATTATGTTGATTATTTACGGTAATTGTGTCGGGTGACTTACTTTGTTGAGGTTCCAAATCTTGAGCATTGTTTTCCGATCATGTAATGGATCTTGAAACAAGTAATCTCTGGTGGAAAGAGCATAGTGTTGGCATCGCAAAATGGTTCCATCAGGTAACACTAGGCTCCTGAGCAACTCAAAATTGTCCTTTCCAACAGAGTCACTCACATAAATTGGTCCTCCAGAATTTGCCCTAAAAGCAGCGTGGAATCCGGCACAGGGATGAGTAGACTGGAACATGTCCCAATCTGGGTGTATGACGTTGCCCATCCACAAGCTATTTTATGCACAATGCACCATGTGACACCTTTGTAGCCAAAACGTTCCATTTCTGACACCTTTGGGATCATTGCACCAGAAATCATCTCCTGTATATATATGCAACGCCACAACAAAATCAGTAACCTGTTTATATAACCTCAATGAAAGGTATCCGAAGGAAATCGAAGGCATTACCAACGCGTCCAAGCGATATGGTCTCTGTGCCAAGATACATGAAGTCATTGTAATGCTCCATACTGGCAATCACACCATTTCCTTTGAAATGTTTCCTAACGGAAGCAGTTAGTGCCTTGTAGTAAGTTTTAGCAAGCTCAAATCGACCACCGAAGTCCTCAGCTAGCAATTCAAGCAATTGTACCACAAAATTATTATGTAATTAGCAGAATGTACTGAAATTGAATATCCAGTTGATTCCCATAATTTATCTCTTGTTTAATAGTGATCTATATATGCATTTGATCGTTTGAAATTGAATATCCATAAAAAAAGATTCTTTTCACAAAAAAAATCACATTATGCTAATAGAACTAAATCCTCGTAGTCACTTGACGCCAGTAAGGCGACATCTTTGTATACTCACCCAACTGGTAACCCAAGAAAGAGATACGTGGCATGATAAAGACATGACAAAGAAATTCTGCGCGTTTGCAACTTTGCAAGTGGCAATTTACCCTGCAATTGAAACTACAAAACATGGGCAATAGTGACATCATTTTAGATCTATCTACCCGTTACGTTTCCCGTCAACTCAATTTTCAGCACACATTGACTTCCTAAAACGTGTCATATCGTCACTGTCGAAATTTAAGGAGCTCATTGAAGTTCGAGGTAAGTAATAGTCCAATCTGCCCTCCATTGCATTAATATTTTAGTTAAAACCGGTTCACGCAACTCTAAACTAAGGCCANCTTTTCTCGTTAGTTTTCAAGTTTTTGGTATTCGATTGAAACAGGGTTAGATATTTGCTCTGCTAGGGTTCATCCTTTGTTCTGAAATCTTTGTTCTGTGTAACGGGTTGAGTGATTGATTAGTCATTCTGTTTAAGGGGTTTTGTCTCTCGGTTGGCTGGGATTCTGAGTGTATAGTTTCCAAGGCTATTAGTTACCAGATAGGGTGATTTCGGGTTTGATTGAATCTTTCGATCTTGCGTCTGTAATCTGTAAAATACTTTTCTAATAGTGCAGTGAGCTTCGACGTTTCCGAAGCTCAACGTGGACGTAGCCTTCCCAATCCTGGAAAGCTGAACCACGATAAAATTGTGGTGTTCTTGATCTTCTGTGGTTGTGTCTTATTTGGTTATAATCTGTGGTTTGTGAGTGTGTTATTCTAACAGTGGTATCAGAGCTTTTCATCTTAGAGCCGAGAGCGTGTTTAAGATCCAAATTTGAGGAAATTAAATTCTAGGGTTTCATAGAAATTGGGGGTTTTCTAAAATTTCGAGTTCTAGGGTTCTTGGGAGTCTATAGGTTTTCTCCAAACAAAAATTAATCAAGATTCAACCACGGTCTCTGAGTATGAGCACCATCAGTTCAACTCACATGGAGATTGTGCAGTACGACGGAAAAATTGACTTCAATTCTTGGAAGAAGAAGATGAAGGCCCTACTTTCGCACAATAAAGTAGGGATTGCACTGGAAAAGGATGAAGAAAAGTGGCCAGCGGACAAATTAAAAAGAAAGGCGGAAATAGACGAGGAGGCATACAACCTGATCGTGATGAACTTGGCAGACAACGTACTGAGGAAAGTGGACGGATTTGAGGCTCCAATCGCACTATGGGGTAAACTCGAAACTCTGTATGCTTTACAATCTGCACCAAATCTTGCTTTCTTGAAGGGTGCACTTTTCTCATATAGAATGGACAGTAGTAAATCAATAGAAGATAATATTGATGAATTCTTGAAAATGACCATAGTCCTAAAATGTACTGACCAAGAATTAGGTGGAACGAGTTTAGCAATGATCTTGCTAAACTCACTGACCGAAGACTATCAAGTTGTTAAGAACGCTTTACAGTATTCAGGCACAGTCCCTAGTGTAGATCTTATAGTATCAGGACTAAAGGCTAGGGAATTGGAATTAAAGGTTCAGAAAAGAAGTGGCAATAATCTGTTTGTAAAAGGTAAAACTGATATAGGTAGTTCCTCTAATGGCATGCCGAGAAACAATTGGTCTAAGGCTAAAAAGAAAGGAAAAGGGGCTAACAAGAAAGGGGAGACTAGAAAATGCTTTCACTGTAATAAGCCTGGTCATCTAAAAAAGAATTGCTATGATTGGATTAGGAAACAAAAATCAGTGAATACTGAAAGCAATGTTGCTTGTACTGATAAAACCATAACTGACCCAAAAGTTCTAACTGTGTCTAGAACAGATCAGACTCATGACTGGGTTTTAGACTCTGGATGCTCCTTCCATATGAGCCCTAACAGAGAGTGGTTTCAGGATTTTAGGGGTGGTGAATATGAAACTGTCTATATGGGTAACAATAACACTTGCAGAGTGTTAAGATTAGGTAACATTACCCTAAGACTAGATGATGGAAAAATCATTGTGTTATCAAGTGTTAGGTACATTCCTGAACTTAAGAGGAACCTAATATCCCTAGGTACCCTAGATGAGTCAGGATGTAGCTATAAGCTGAAAGGGGTTGTATAAATGTGTCTAAGAATAACCACATTGTTCTAAGGGGGTTGAAGAAGAATGGGCTATACATTCTGTGTGGCAGTTATTACTCTGAGAATGGGAAGAGTGCCTTGGTCTCTATAAATTTGAATGATACTAATAAGTGGCATTTGAGGTTAGGTCGCATGAGTGAAAAAGGTATGAGTATTCTTAGACAACAGGGGTTATTTGGTAGAGATAAAATAACAACCCTAGATTTCTGTGAAACTTGTGTTTTGGGAAAACAGCATAGAGGTAGTTTCACCAAAGGTATACACCTATCCCAAAACTGCTTAGATTATCTACATGCTGACCTTTGGGGGCCTGAAAGAATTAGATCTCATGGGGGGAATTCCTATTTCTTTTCCATTGTTGATGACTTCAGTCGAAAAGTTTGGGTATACCTACTGAAGTCTAAAGATGAGGCTCTGTCCAAGTTCAAAACCTGGAAGACACTTGTGGAAAACCAAATTGACAGAAAAGTGAAGGCTTTAAGGACTGATAATGGTCTGGAATTCTGCAATATGGAGTTTGACAATTACTATAGAGATCAAGGTATATTAAGGCATAGAACAGTTAGGAAAACCCCTCAACAAAATGGGGTTGCTGAGAGAATGAACCGAACCTTATTAGAAAAAGTAAGGTGTCTCCTGTTCACCTCAGGTCTCCCAAAAACTTTTTGGGGAGAAGCTTTGACCACTGCTGCCTACTTAATAAACAGAAGCCCTAATAGCTCCATAGGATTCAACTGCCCTGAATCAAAGTGGTCAGGAAGAGAATTAAACCTCAGCCATCTAAGGGTGTTTGGATGTGCTGCTTATGCACATACCAGTGATGGGAAATTAGAGCCCAGGTCCATTAAGTGTCTATTTTTAGGATACCAGGAGGGCACTAAAGGTTACAGACTGTGGGATAAGACTGCACCAGGGGTTAAGATTGTTATTAGCAGAGATGTGATTTTTAATGAAGGGGATTTCCCTTGCAAGTTTGCTAATGTTGATGCAGGTCCTCCAAGCAACAAAGTAACACAACCAAGCACTACACCAATTGAGGTGGAGGCAACCATCAGGCAACTAGAGAATGCCCACACTGAAGAGTATCCTGCACCAGAAGAAGAACTCACACCTGATAAACCTGACCAAAATGAAGAGGAAACAGAAGAGGCCCAAGACCCTTTGCAGGATGATCTGCAGGACTACCAACTGGCAAGGGACAGGAGCAGAAGAGACATAAGGCCACCTGCAAGATACTCATTTGCAGAACTGGTCTATATTGCCCTAATGGCAGGAACTAAAATTCTGAGGACAGAACCAGAGTCATACTCTGAAGCAATCACCTCAAAGGACAAGCACAAATGGAGGCAAGCAATGACAGAGGAAATGAACTCTCTACAGGTAAATGGGACTTGGTCCGTAGTTCCTAAACCCAAACACCAGAAAATTATACAGTGTAAATGGTTGTATAAGATTAAAGAGGGTGTAGATATGAATGAATCACCTAGATACAAAGCTAGATTGGTGGCCAAGGGGTTCACCCAAAGGGAGGGCATAGACTTCAATGAAGTCTTCTCTCCCGTTGTCAAATATAAAACCATTAGAATGATGCTGTCTGTAGTAGCTCACCAAGACCTAGAGTTAGAGCAACTTGATGTGAAAATAGCATTCCTTCATGGGGATTTAGAAGAACAAATTTACATGGCCCAACCAACTGGTTTTGTAGACTGCCATAGACCTGACCATGTATACAGACTACATAAGTCCTTGTATGGACTTAAACAGTCACCCAGACAGTGGTATAAAAGGTTTGATACATTTATACTTAACCTAGAATTCACTAGGAGCAAGTATGATAACTGTTTTTACTTTGCTTGATGATATGCTCCTGATTAGTAAATCAAAATCAAAGATAACTGAACTAAAATCTAGACTCAGTTCTGAATTTGATATAAAAGACCTAGGAGTGGCTAAGAAAATATTGGGTATGATAATGAACAGAGACAAAACCAGGAATACCCTAAAGGTTCATCAAACACCATACCTATAGAAGCTAGTTTCCAAATATGGAATGTCTGGTTGTAAGCCTGTAACAATACCTCTTGCAAATCACTTTATTCTGTCTAAGTCCCAATGTCCAAAGAACTCTGTTGAAACCATAAAAATGGAGACTGTCCCCTATTCAAATGTGATAGGGTCTGTGATGTATGCAATGATTAGCGCCAGACCAGATTTAGCTTTTGCAATTTCTTTACTGAGTAGGTTCATGTCAAATCCAAGAAGTGATCACTAGATTGCATTGAAATGGGTACTCAGATATATAAATTGTACTGCATGTATAGGTTAAGAATATTGTAAAAGGACAACTACACTTGATCTTGTGGGGTTTATGGATTCAAACTTTGCAGGTGACAGGGATAGCAGGAAGTCAACCACAGCCTACTGCTTCACCCTTGGAGGAAACTGTATCAGCTGGAAATCACAACTACAGCCTCTAGTTGCCCTGTCAACAACTGAAGCAGAGTATGTGGCACTGGCAGATGGCTTCAAGGAGGCTGTATGGATGCAAGGATTATTGGCAGAATCTAAATTGACTGACAGTAAAGTGACTATCTTCTCAGACAGTCAAAGTGCCATACTGTTAAGTAAAAATCCAATCTACCATGAGAGAACGAAACATGTGGACGTGAGATTTCACTTCATCAGAGACCTAATTACCAGAGGACAGATTGAGTTAAAGAAAGTTCCCACTGAACAGAATCCAGCAGATATGGGAACCAAAATTGTCAGTCCAGGAAAGTTCAAACACTGCATGAACTTGCTGTTCCTGAAATAATCAAAGCATCACCAGAGCTATGAGGGAATAAGTTGAGGCAAACTGCCCTAGAAAGGGAAGTCAGTAAGAGAGTGAGTGTTATGTCTTCAAGGTGGAGATTGTAAGTGTGAAGACCAAATCGGTGCCGTGTCACTTAACCAACACGCTGTCGTTTCAAGCATGAATCTGGACCATCAGTTTTGAGAAGATCCAACGGCTGTGCTTAGTCCATCCTGGTCAACGATATATAAGTGAACTTTTCTCGTTAGTTTTCAAGTTTTTGGTATTCGATTGAAACAGGGTTAGATATTTGCTCTGCTAGGGTTCATCCTTTGTTCTGAAATCTTTGTTTTGTGTAACGGGTTGAGTGATTGATTAGTCATTCTGTTTGAGGGGTTTTGTCTCTCGGTTGGCTGAGATTCTGAGAGTATAGTTTCCAAGGCTATTAGTTACCAGATAGGGTGATTTCGAGTTTGATTGAATCTTTCGATCTTGCGTCTGTAATCTGTAAAATATTTTTCTAATAGTGCAGTGAGCTTCGACGTTTCCGAAGCTCAACGTGGACGTAGCCTTCCCAATCTTGGAAAGGTGAACCACGATAAAATTTTGGTGTTCTTGATCTTCTGTGGTTGTGTCTTATTTGGTTATAATCTGTGGTTTGTGAGTGTGTTATTCTAACACGTGGCATGGTAAAGACATGACAAATAAATTTTGCGCGTTTGCAACTTTGCAAGTGGCAATTTACCCTGCAATTGAAACTACTAAACATGGGCAATAGTGACATCATTTTAGATCTATCTACCCATTACGTTTCTCGTCAACTCAATTTTCAGCACTCATTGACTTCCTAAAATATGTCATATCGTCACTGTCTAAATTTAAGGAGCTCATTGAAGTTCGAGGTAAGTAATAGTCCAATCTGCCCTCCATTGCATTAATATTTTAGTTAAAACCGGTTCACGCGACTCTAAACTAAGGTCATAACTATAAAATAAATCAAGTGCTTGCACTTAGCAATTCTAAATTTATGATAAGAAAGAAAAGTTTTCAAGAACTTACATGAATTACATCAACCTTGACACCATCGATGGCCGCCGACTCCAGATGAGAATGGAGTCCCTCGTACATCTCGTGGACCCGCTCTGGTGGGACCAGTCCAATTCTACTCTCCACTATCTTATCCACAGCCAAATCTTCCATAGTCATCTCCAAACACTTTGACAATTTAGGAGTAATGAGCCTGGATTCGGGCAGGCCTGGGATTTTGGGTCTAACGCCGCCCCAATACCCACACAGCGCATGCCATACATACACATTCTCGACGCTCTTAAACTCTTCTTTTAGGTCCCTAACGAAGGCGCCCATGCCTTTTTTCGATGGTTCCTTGGAACTTTTATAGTCCCTGAATTTGTAATTCTCTTCGACTTTTATGAGCCTGCACGGCATTTGTTCCCCGGCGCTTGTTCGGTTCATGCCTTCTTGATCAGTAATGGGATCTTCGTCATGGCAAATGGACTGCCACCCGTCATCCATCAGAACCAGCCCCGGAGGGCACCCGCCTTCTACTAAACCCTTCACCCCTTCCCGTACACCTTCAGGGTGAACTTTAAGATAAAATGCATCCCAAGTGCACCAACCAAATTTATCAATGATGCCTGGCGGCGTTTTCTCCTCAAGAAGTTTAAATGTCCCCAAATGGAGCCTGACAACTTTCATGGCCTCCTTCACAAGACGATAAGGATCGTCGTTGACATGCATGTATAAACAACTTCTGAAGCTTGAACCACACACGTGCGAGGACCCACTTTCCAGGCACAAGTCCACGTAATCATCGACCCCAAGTTGAAGAGAAGCTCTGAAGGGTCCCTCCAGGATTGGAAGTAGAAGAACATAAGAGCGTCCCAAGTCATTTTTGTCTAAGAGTAGCATCTGGGTCTCATGCTCCAAGTCTTTTCCATTATTTCCAACCCAGTGGGTGGTCCACCAAACTTTGAACCTGAATAGGCTCATGAACCTGATTCCACTGAGTTTGTCGATAGGCAACATATGCCAGCTTTTGGACTCGTCCACTTCAAATCCCACGAAGCAGCCCGCCGTGCTATGTGCCTTATTTGTAGTGTTAAATGGTGATGGGATGGGGTGGCAATAATGTTTGTAGGGACTTTAGTGAGAATTGGGTGGCCATTAGCAAGAAAAGTTGATCCTTTTAGGATGATGGATGATGTTAGTTCACCATAAAGAAGCCCTAATGAATCTAGCGCATTCTTGCTTAAGCTTGGAGCCATGGAAAGAGCTTGTGTTTTCTAGCAGTTGTGAGAGAGGAAGAAGAAGAAGAAGAGATTTGTTAATTTGTGTTTGTGATGAATGCAAGGAGTGAAGGGTGGTTTATATAGAAGTTTTAGTTGGGAAATCCAATGATGTTTGGTTGAGGCAAACATGGTTGTGATATGCTCATGTATTGAAAAAATGTACAAGTTAGAGGGAGCTTTTGCTTTCGTGGGTGATGCTAGAGAAAAATATTTCACTGAGTATTCTTGTCATTTGGCATATGTTATAGTAGTTTTAAGTCCTGTCATTTTTCTTCTTTTTACATTTTTAAGGAATAAATAAAACCTACTTTAAAGTTTAAGAAATTAAGTACGGATAACATTGACATAGATTCATATATAATTGAAAAGGCAAATTAGTTGTGGTGAGCAGAAATGCAAGAGGATTGACAGAAATGAGGTGGGGTGTAATAACAAAAGTAAAGTTGGAAGGAGACTGTTATGTGTCTTTATTCGCTATATCTCTTTTTCTAGACGTTTCTTGAGCTTACCTTGATTGCCGCCTATTGACATGGAATGCATGCTCTAAAAAGTCAAGATCTGCCAGGTCTATGGACTATGGGAACAGAATTTCTACAAATTACCTAAAAGATTTCAACTATTGAGCTTAAAGAGTAAAGGCTGAATAGGTCAATCCACTTTCATTTGGTTTTGGTTTGGTGCATCAATTCATGCTATAAGAGAAAATACTAGAAGACTCTTAATTGATTAATTAGGAGTTGAGAAGATGATGGAAGCAATTGGAAGGACAACACTAGATACTTGTTATAATTTACTATTAAAAATTGGCCTATTTTTTAAGTAATGAAATATTGTACAACAATATTAACTGTCTTATTACCACTGCAAACTTCGCCATATCAACGGCTAAGGTATTAGAAATGATTATATTAAATTATTAATTCAACTCATGTCATGTGTAGAAGATTAACGACAAGACTGAGTTGCAACTTGCAAGTGCAAATAGAAGATTAATTTGTGAACATGCACTAGTCTCTAGTAGTACCATCACGAGGAGCACGTGGCAAAAGAAGAGGTGGCCTGACACGTGGAAACGACGTGGAGTCACATGGGAACACCCATCACCTACTTTCCACATGGCATGAGGAAGGGCAATTACGTGGAGGATGGTGCAGCGGTGGCCAAAGGTGTAGCTATTAACAATAATGCTACGGACACCGGGATTTTTGCACCGAAATATTGTACCGACCTACGTGTAACGCACATCTGAATATTTTTATAATTTTTTTCTAGTGAACGGCCGTCCATCAAATTTGGACGGTCATTCACTCACATGGACGCCCGTCCATATTATATGGACGAGCATCCATATACAAGGGACGGGCATCCCCATTTAAAGGACGTCCGTCCATAAATAAAACATAATGAAAAAAATTTATAAATATTGGGGACGGCCGTCCATCTGTTATGGTTGCATTGTTTTTATTGAAAGCAATGTTCTAAAAACCGGACTGGACCGTCCAGTCAGACCGGTTTGACCAGCAACCGGCAGCAAATCCGGTCCGATATATATAGAAAATCGCTATTTTGATTTAAACCGGATTGGACCGCAGTTGGACCACCGGAATAATGTCGAATCGCAATCCAATCGCAGCTAAACCCCGTCAGATTCCGACATCTTTCAACGGAGAAAACACCTCCATTCGACGGACGGCATCTCCACGACCAAACCCATCCATTTTCAGTCGCCGTCGTCCAGCCTACGTCGATCGCCGTCGTCCAGCCTACGTCGATCGCCGTCCACCTAAAGTTCACGCGACGTCAGATTTCTTTTGTTGATTCCGGCGAGTTCCGACGCCGATGGAACTCCCTAGCACCACCATCAGAGTCGCCGGAACCTACACATCAAAAGCCCCAAGATTCCAGCTTCGATTGGCCATTGATCGTCGCTGCCGCCACCACTCACCAGAATCTTCGTGCGACAGGGGTGTTTTAGATAGATTTCAAACCTTAATGGAATATTATAGGGGTGTTTTTGATTAATTTTAAACCTTTAGGGACTAACAATAATTTTACAAATTATGGTCCAACCGACCGATCCAACCGGTCAAACCGAAAATCGGACCCTTAAACGGGTCATTGTCCGGTCCGATTTTTAAAACATTGATTGAAAGTGATCAAGTGCCACCGTGCATGCCGACTCACTGCATTGATGTCTGTATTGTAGTTGTACTTAATTAATGGTAATTTAATGATAATGTTATTTGTACAAATTAACGTAGCATATCACAAAGTATGTCATGTGGTATTGGGATCCACATAACTTAATGTCACATTAATGTTATGTGGGCTCTTATGTCACGTGACACTTACATGGTTTGTCACGTAAATTTTTACAAACTCTTTTTGTACAAAGAGTTTATACAAATAGCATTATCCCTTAATTAATAGCCCAAAATCGCTCACCCTGCTGGTCATTCCTTTGTTTTGTACCCTTCTTGCATTCTCATATTTTTTTTCTCTTAATTATTCTTCATTATGTTAAATTTTATATACAAGTTCATGGGCAATTTCCATCGTTATTGAATTACAATGGATTGCCATAAAAATATTTCAATTTTATCAAAAATATTATAAAAAAGCACAAGTTGGGCTTAGTAGTTTCGGGAGCCCAAACTTAAAAAGGAGATTATTCCTTAGTGGGCTCACCCTTGACCCAATAACTCATTGGACCCAAAACTTTGAGAACTAGCACGTGCAAATCACACTATTTCCCAGCCGACGCATGATTCATAATCTTCCCATCGGCTAGTTGGTCGCGTCTGGTATAAAACGCTGAGTTTTGAATCTCCTCCAACTCTTGGAAGTTAGACACACGGAGACACAAGTAAATCAAATGGCGCGAACAATAGAAGCAGATGATCATAAAGAGTTGCAGAGCAGTGATTGCTTTGTTTGGGACGAAACATCCCAGCTCTTCTTTCATGCCAGGTTTTTCCTTCTTTTCATTTTGTAACTCCATCACAATCACCTACAATTAGAATCAAAATTCGATGTTCCTGTTACCATTCCAATCTTACAATACTGTTTAAATCCTTCAGTTTAAGTTTTTATATTCCTTTTTAAGACTTTTATGCATGTTGAGATATTGTCTTTAAATATTTTTTTATTAATTTGGTTATGTTTCATTCTTATTTTGTGTTCATTTGGTGCAGTACTGGATTTTACCATGACCCCAACGCTGACTGGTACTATAGTAGTAGGGATGGTCTTTATTACAAGTTTGAGAATGGGAATTATGTGCTTTTGGAGTCTCAAAAGGTAGCATTTTATGAGGCTGTTAATTTTGTCTTATTGGATTGAGATCCTAAGCTTTGGTATCACAATTTTTCAGGTTAATGAATGTGAAATAAGTCGATGTCAAGGAACTGCCAAGGATAATCCGGTTCACGACGAGCAATGTAAACAAGAATATTGTGACAATAATGCTTACTTCTCCATCCAGCTTGATGAATCTAAAGCTCATCACTGTGTAAGAAGTGGTCTGGATGAATCTACTTCAGGTGAGCCATGAATCGGTGTGATGTGAACCACTACAATGTAATTGTATGCCATGTTGTTTGTATCTTAAAAATTAATTTTCTTCTAGAAATTCTTGATTCCTATAAAATGTGGTAAGGCAACAGAGTGGAAACTACAGTGCTTGCGTAGTGATTATTCCTTAAGAATAACACAGTAGCTGAGGGGTGGCTTGGTTTATTGGTCTGTGCTTGTTATTATAGGGATGCATGCTGGATCATTTGATCATTGTCATACATTCAATAACATCTTCATGTCATAAATTTTTTAGTCCAGTAGAAATGATTGCATAACTTTAAGAATTTATTGGTTTGGAAGTTGTGCATATTTGGAATCTAAGCTTGTCCAACTTGGTAATGAGCTTGGAGATTGAGAGTTTTTGAGGGAGAAAGAATTTTCTGGTTGGAACTTTTAGATAAAAAGGGACTAGTTGGGTATCCACCCGATGCCAATAAAACAATTCCTCTAACATTAGAAAATTACTTCAAATCTTTGTATTATGGAGTTTTGTAAAGTATCTTGTATTTCTTTTCGAATAATAAGGGACAGGCACAACACTCCAAAAAATTAATTAGTCTTTTATTAGCAGGACATACAGAGGGCACTAGCAATCAAACGCCTGAAAATCCACCTCCACCATCAGCATGGTAAGCTACATTCTGGTGCTGCATGCTCTTTCTTTTAATCAGTTACCACTTCAATATATCTTTCTTAACAATTCTTTTTATTGGATTTAGGTTAGAAGAAACACTTATTGATCTTTATCTGTCTGGTTATAATGGACCGGTCGATGCTGATAATGGTGCAGTGATGCCTTTGGAAACAGATGAGGGGGACAACTTTAAGTTTTCAGCTGATGGTTTGTCACAATGAATCTTTGCATTTTTCTACCAAAATTTTTGTGTTTTAATAGTTGGAGCAGGCATAAACAGCTCTGTATTGTTTGAATGCAGAAAGTAGTGATACTCATAAGCTAGAGGAATTGAATGCAGAGAGTAGTAATACGCTTGAGCTGGAAGATGGGGAACTGATCGTGGAGGACTTAGGCGAAGGTTTGTCCTGTATGACTATCATCAATCAATTGCTTGATGTCCTATTCATTCAAGATTGTCACATGAGAGAGAGAATTAAAGAAATTTATGAACTTATTGAAAGAAGGCCCACAAATTTCACATATTTAGGTGAAAACTATGAGCATTTTTACATACAGGTGTTTCTTGGGAGGAAGAAAATTGGCGATCACAATATGGTCAGGTTATTCAACCTGAGCAAGAGCCAGTGTTGACAATCCCGGTGGTTGAATTATGGGACTGGTCAATGGTCAGAGAATGCAGAAAGGACGGGAAAAATCAGGTAGCTAAATTGGTTGGGCATTTGGTGAGACGATCTGCAAAGCTCCATCCCTCCATGCCTTCTGGTGGTGGTCTTCTGAAAACTGCTCCAATTTGTGAAGTTTATCTGGATCTGGTACGAGTTACAACAGGTTTGCTTTCACCTTTTTTATTTGACAACAACTTCAGTGCCTGTGTTTCATGTATGATAAAATTTAAGATTATTTGCAATTCTTGCAAGCATTCTCTGTGTGGTTGTGCATTTACAGCCCATATTTGTGAACTTGTATAGCTGCTTGATTATTGCCTCCTTTCAGGACAAGTGTATAAGTTGCGGAGCCCTAGTGCAAAATATTTAGCTTTCTTGTCAAGTTATGATTCTTCTAACCCAACAAAGGACTGGGGCTTCCCTGAATTTTTCCCACAATCTAAAACCATTCAAAGAACCAAACCGGAATCATCTGATGGAATCACTAACTGCATGGATAGGTCCACTTTTGCGGATCAACTATCTGCATATGAAAAGGTATTTTTTGCTGCCGAAGTTATACCTCTTGTCATCTGGTTGATGAAGTTATGTCAATATAGAAGCCCATAAAAAGTACTTATAGATTTTTCATAATTACGTTAATTATGACATGTTCACATTTCTAAGAACATGCTTTTGAGTGGTAATAAATCCCTATAGCCTCACTAATTATGTTGTTGGTGATGTTCTTTATTTATTTTTATACTGCAAATTATTGCTATAGAACTCTACAAGAGTTAACTCTATAATAGCCCAACCTCCCATATTACATTGTCCAAGTCTGTATCAGCTAATATTATTAAGGTTGTGAATAGTTTTTTCATGTTCAGTTAGTGAGGGTAATATACAGGTATGTAAATTCAGTTTTTTTCATAGATTTCCCTTTTTCTTGTTTATAGATATATATGTTTACAACTTATTTTTGTATATGAGGAGAGGGCTAGTAATGCAATCGCAATGTTATCAAGTCTTGAGTTTTGAGCATTCATATATAGTCTGGTGAATCATGTACATTTTTTTCCTTGTAATTTGTTTTATTGTTGTATTGCCAGCATAAAAGCCATGCATATAGGGATAGAGCTGCAGAGAGAAGAATTTTACATGGTGGTATTGGTGTGGGTCCAGGACAAAAGAGTGTTTTGGTCGGTGACAATGGTGGGGAATTGTATCCTGATTCTGCTAGTACAGAAGATGCAGCAGCTGAAGCTTTGGAAATGTCATTTGCAACTGGTAGTTATGCCAGAAGAATTCTAGAAGGCATGGGCTGGAAGGAGGTTGGTGTCACATCACATTGTTTCCTTGCATGTTATGTACAAGATGAATAAAAAATTAGAGAGCCATATCTTTATTGAAACCGATTATCTCCATATCTCATCTCATTATTCTAGACGACAAATAGGGCCAATATGAATTAGAACATGCATTATAGTTTTATCTGTTTCTGATGCAAAGATGTGAGCAGGGAGAGGCACTTGGTAAAACGACAAAGGGATTGGTGAAACCCTTGGAAGCAATTGGAAATGTTGGCAGTGCTGGACTGGGATGGCCTCAAGGAAGAACAAAGCACCGCTGAACGATTGGGCTCCCTCCGTCACCGTTAACTAAAGCCTTTACGGAGGCATGGTTTTGATTTCAAATGGAATATGTGTTTTGACCGTTTGCGTGCACTATAAATTTTGATGATCACACCACTAAATATATATAGATATGAAATTGAACTTATTTGTGACTGTTTTACGCTGCTCTTGCCTCTTCGTAATTCCTAGATACTATCTATTAAATACATCATTGAAATATCGATCTTCCATACAATTGAACCTCTAGACTCTGGACTGGAGCACCAAATTCTTGACGAATCAATGACATGAAATTCACCACTTGCATCATTTTATTATAGGAACACTTGAAATTAAGTCCAGACACTGCGTGGCGGGAGTGTCTCAGGTCTCACAAGCTTGGTAACTTAGTTATCCTTGGCTCTGGAATTTCAAAATAAAACTTCTGCTACTGCTACAGAATACAGCTTCCCATTGCATTAACCTGAAAGAGAGGGAAGCATATTGTACTCCTCTCACAATGCGGAGCTACTCCACAAGTAGATTCAAGAAACTATTTAATGTACATTGTACAGACATGGGGAATAAAGAAAAAATATAATATCCCACAAAATTGCTTAAGTCTACATTTCAGTTTTTACAGCTTCCTCAGATACGGTTACATCGTTGCTAATTTTCTTATCAGACACTGGATCAGTTTTTTCCTCTTCCATTATGCTCTTCTGCTGCAACTCTTGCTTCAGCCTTTCAATTTTACGATCCTTCTCCTCTAGCTTCTCTCGTAAGATCAGCACCTGCAAAAAAAATGTTCTCAGTATAAACCAGTCCCAAATCTTTTTTTTTTTTTTTTTATTAGATATTCATCTTTAAAATAATTATGTGATGCAACCTTAACCCTAGGTGATGATGCTCAGGAGCCACCTTTGTTTTCTTTGAATTTCTGAAAATATGTTTTATCATCATCTCTTTAAATAAATCAGAAAACAAATTCGAAACTTCCCCATTCATGGAGTTACATTCCTTGATTCCATCAAGCCCAAAACTATCCACCAAAAAGCCTCTAGTTCCCTGTCAACAACTGAAGCAGAGTATGTGGCACTGGAGATGGCTTCAAGGAGGCTGTATGATGCAAGGATTATGGAAAATCTGAATGACTGACAGTAAGGTGACTATCTTCTCAGACAGTCAAAGTGCCATACTGTTAAGTAAAAATCCTATCTACCATGAGAGAACGAAACATGTGGACGTGAGATTTCACTTCATCAGAGACCTAATTACCAGAGGAAGATTGAGTTAAAGAAGTTCCCTGAACAGAATCCAGCAGTATGGGAACCAAAATTGTCAGTCCAGGAAGTTCAAACATGCATGAACTTGCTGTTCCTAAATAATCAAAGCATCACAGAGCTATGAGGGAATAAGTTGAGGCAAACTGCGAAAGGAAGTCAGTAAGAGAGTGAGTGTTATGTCTTAAGGTGGAGATTGTAAGTGTGAAGACCAAACGGTGCCGTGTCACTTAACCAACACGCTGTCGTTTCAAGCATGAATCTGGACCATCAGTTTTGAGAAGATCCAACGGCTGTGCTTAGTCCATCTGGTCAATGATATATAAGTGAACTTTTCTCGTTAGTTTCAAGTTTTGAGTTTCGATTGAAACAGGGTTAGATTTTGCTCTGCTAGGGTTCATCCTTTGTTCTGAAATCTTGTTTTGTGTAACGGGTTGAGTGATGATTGTCATTCTGTTTGAGGGGTTTGTCTCTCGGTTGCTGGATTCTGAGAGTATAGTTTCCAGGCTATTAGTTACCAGATAGGGTGATTTGAGTTTGATTGAATCTTTCGATCTTGCGTTGTAATCTGTAAAATATTTTTCTAATAGTGCAGTGGCTTCGACGTTTCGAGCCAACGTGGACGTACCTTCCCAATCTTGGAAAGGTGAACCACGATAAAATTGTGGTGTTCTTGATCTTCTGTGGTTGTGTCTTATTTGGTTATAATCTGTGGTTTGTGAGTGTGTTATTCTAACACTGGCATGGTAAGACATGACAAATAAATTTTGCGCGTTTGCAACTTTGCAAGTGGCAATTTACCCTGCAATTGAAACTACTAAACATGGGCAATAGTGACATCATTTTATCTATCTACCCATACGTTTCTCGTCAACTCAATTTTCAGCACTCATTGACTTCCTAAAATATGTCATACTCTCACTGTCAAATTAAGGAGCTCATTGAAGTTCGAGGTAAGTATAGTCCAATCTGCCCTCCATTGCTTAATTTTTTTAGTTAAAACCGTTCACGCGACTCTAAACTAAGGTCTAACTATAAAAAAATCAAGTGCTTGCACTTAGCAATTCTAAATTATGATAGAAGAAAAGTTTTCAAGAACTTACTGAATTACATCAACCTTGACACCATCGATCCGCCGACTCCAGATGAGAATGGAGTCCCTCGTACATCTCGTGACCCGCTCTGGTGGGACCAGTCCAATTCTACTCTCCACTATCTTATCCACAGCCAAATCTTCCATAGTCATCTCCAAACCCTTTGACAATTTAGGAGTAATAGCCTGGATTCGGGTAGGCCTGGGATTTTGGGTCTAACGCTGCCCCAATACCACACAGCGCATGCCATATACACATCTCGACGCTCTTAAACTCTTCTTTTAGGTCCCTAACGAAGGCGCCCATGCCTTTTTTCGATGGTTCCTTGGAACTTTTATATTCCTTGAATTTGTAATTCTCTTCGACTTTTATGAGCCTGCACGGCATTTGTTCCCGACGCTTTTCGTTTCATGCCTTCTTGATCAGTAATGGGATCTTCGTCATGGCAATGGACTACCACCCGTCATCAATCAGAACCAGCCCCGGAGGGCACCCGCCTTCTACTAAGCCTTTCACGCCTTCCCGTACCCCTTCAGGGTGAACTTTAAGATAAAATGCATCCCAAGTGCACCAACCAAATTATCAATGATGCCTGGCGGCGTTTTCTCCTCAAGAAGTTTAAATGTCCCTAAATGGAGCCTGACAACTTTCATGGCCTCCTTCACAAGACGATAAGGATCGTCGTTGACATGCATGTATAAACAACTTCTGAAGCTTGAACCACACACGTGCGAGGACCCATTTCCAGCACAATTCCACGTAATCATCGACCCCAAGTTGAAGAGAAGCTCTGAAGGGTCCCTCCTGGACTGGAAATAGAAGAACATAAGGGCGTCCCAAGTCATTTTTGTCTAAGATCAGCATCTGGGTCTCATGCTCCAGTCTTTTCCATTATTTCCAACCCAGTGGGTGTTCCACCAAACTTGAACCTGAATAGGCTCATGAACCTGATTCCTCTGAGTTTGTCGATAGGCAACATATGCCAGCTTTTGACTCGTCCACTTCAAATCCCACAAGCAGCCCGCCGTGCTCTGTGCCTTATTTGTAGTGTTAAATGGTGATGGGATGGGGTGGCAATAATGTTTGTAGGGACTTTAGTGAGAATTGGGTGCCATTAGCAAGAAAAGTTGATCCTTTTAGGATGAGGATGATGTTAGTTTCACCATAAAGAAGCCCTATGACTAGCGCATTCTTGCTTAAGCTTGGAGCCATGGAAAGAGCTTGTGTTTTCTAGCAGTTGTGAGAGAGGTAGAAGAAGAAGAAAGGAGATTTGTTAATTTGTGTTTGTGATGAATGCAAGGATGAAGGGTGGTTTTAATAGAAGTTTTAGTTGGGAAATCCATGATGTTTGGTTGAGGCAAACATGGTTGTGATATGCTCATGTATTGAAAAAATGTACAAGTTAGAGGGACTTTGCTTTCGTGGGTGATTCTAGAGAAAAATTCAATGAGTATTCTTGTCATTTGGCATATGTTATAGTAGTTTTAAGTCCTGTCATTTTCTTCTTTTTACATTTTTAAGGAATAAATAAAACTACTTTAAAGTTTACGAAATTAAGTACGGATAACATTGACATAGATTCATATATAATTGAAAAGGCAAATTAGTTGTGGTGAGCAGAAATGCAAGAGGATTGACAGAAATGAGGTGGGTTGTATAACAAAAGTAAAGTTGGAAGGAACTGTTATGTGTCTTTATTCGCTATATCTCTCTTTCTAGACGTTTCTTGAGCTTACCTTGATTGCCGCCTATTGACATGGAATCATCGCTAAAAAGTCAAGTCTGCCAGGTCTATGGACTATGGGAACATAATTTCTACAAATTACCTAAAAGATTTCAACTATTAGCTTAAAGAGTAAAGGCTGATAGGTCAATCCACTTTCATTTGGTTTTGGTTTGGTGCATCTTCATGCTATAAGAGAAATACCAAAACTCTTAATTGATTAATTATGAGTTGAGAAGATGATGGAAGCAATTGGAAGGACAACACTAGATACTTGTTATAATTTACTATTAAAAATTGGCCCATTTTTTAAGTAATGAAATAGTGACAACAAATTAACTGTCTTATTACCACTCAAACTTCGCCATATCAACGGCTAAGGTATTAGAAATGATATATTAAATATTATTCAACTCATGTCATGTGTAGAAGATTAATGACAAGACTGAGTTGCAAGTGCAAATAGAGACTATTTGTGAACATGTACTAGTAGTAACATCACGAGGAGCACGTGGGAAAAGATGATTGGCCTGACACGTGGAAACGACTGGAGTCACATGGGAACACCCATCACCTACTTTCCACATGGCATGAGGAAGGGCAATACGTGGAGGATGTGCAGCGGTGGCCAGGTGTAGCTATTACCAATAATGCTAGGACACCGGGATTTTTGCACCGAAATTTGTACCGACCTACGTGTAACGCACATCTGAATATTTTTATAATTTTTTTTAGTGAACGGCCGTCCATCAATTTGGACGGTCATTCACTCACATGGACGCCCTCCATATTATATGGACGAGCATCCATATACAAGGGACGGGCATCCCCATTTAAAGGACGTCCGTCCATAAATAAACATAATGTGAAAAAATTTATAAATATTGGGGACGGCCGTCCATCTTTATGGTTGCATTGTTTTTATTGAAAGCAATGTTCTAAAACCGGACTGGACCGTCCAGTCAGACCGGTTTGACCACAACCGGCAGCAAATCCGGTCCGATATATATAGAAAATCGCTATTTTGTTTAAACCGGATTGGACCGCAGTTGGACCACCGGAATAATGTCGAATCGCAATCCAATCGCAGCTAAACCCCGTCAGATTCCGACAT